TTTTAGTTCATTTAAACGATCATGATGAAGTTGCGAGACAATCTTGTGGTACATAACCTTCTTCACTTTCTTCATTTCGTACCCAAACCCAATGCGGATGTGTACAACGAAGTACTTGTACTAATTCATTTTTTCGTACAGTTAAATCTTGACGAAATATTGCCGAATAACTTTTCGTTACAACATGCCAACGATCGACTAATGTAGATGTTAATGGACCGATTTGTTCATCTTCATCATCAGCAATAATAGTTGGATCATTTTCATAAATAAAACGTCGACTACTTTCAGCTAATGGTAATTGTGTTGAAGATGATGATTCATCTATTTCATTAAGAAAACATTCCGAACAATCGGTGGTCAATAGATTATGTGAAACATAATTGATTACGGATGGATCACACCTTAAATGACATGATTGTGGTAGTGTCACTGAACGATGAAGCAATGATGTTGACGATAATAATGAACAGTGTGAAAAGTCACTCAATGCAGACACACCAGAATCTAATGAATCTCCACTGATAGATGAAATCGTATCATCAGATGTAATCTATTAGAAAGGAAAAAATACTATAGTAGAATTTTTTTTTTCAAACAATAACTTACATTAGTTAATGTAATTGTCGGATCATATAAGTTGTCATCATCATCATTATCTGTCGTGGAAATATAACTTGTTGGAGAACAATATGTACCATTTCGATTCGAAATACCACCACAAAATTTAGGTGTTTCTAAAATAGAAAGAAAAATTATAGACTTCTAAAGAACATGTACTGGTTTTAATTGGTTAGTCGATTTGCTAAACATACTGATCTCTTGTCGTAAATATACCTCTAGGAAACGAACGATTCTCGTTGAACGAAGATAATGTTTCATTACTTTAAACATATCATTCATCGAATTGTATCAGTTTCATTTTACTCTCAATTCGTATATTAAGTGCTACTTTCACCAATCTTTACTATACAGTAGTAAAGTCCTATACGAATTTGTCTTCTCCTATCGTTAAATATCTACATAGTACAAAACTAATCTTTTATAAAGATATGTAAACTAAGTATTTTATAGTTTTAAGATAAGATATATTCTTACTTTTAATTGTTTTACATAATACACTTTTCATATGATGTAAACGAGCAAATACTCTTGCAGTTGTTTCTTCCATTTTATTTCGATTTGTATATTCAATCATGTTAGTTTCATACATCTAACTGACTGTCTTACGTATTTTCAAATGATAGATATGATAAAGATTATTCAGTTATTTCACACATTAATCTAATTGATCTATTTGACTAATCCACTCTTTTTCTCTCTCTTACTCGAATATCTATTGGTTAGATTTTTTATATATTTGATCCTATTTCACTTCTCTATGTAACTAAATTAATCGCCTAATCGACTCATCTCATATGACGTTGAGAAGGAAGGAGACGAGCTGTTGTATATTATGCATGACATCAATCATTCATTTGTTCAATTCGCACATTCAAGTGTAAAATTATTATTTTTTTCTGATCTCATTTCAGACATGATAGAAAGCATTAAATATGTAAAGAGAAAAAGAAAATTTGTTATTAGTTAAGCTGTTGGAATTCGATCTGTTTTGAATAAATCATCATTCCATTGAAGTTTTTCAGTCCATGCATAAAGAGCATCAACTTCACCATCATTAAATTCATCTTTACTCATAAATGTATCATTAATTCCACTGCTTAATTGGTCATTTTCAGTTGTATTTGTTGCTATTTGTTGTTCATATTGAAGAATTAAAGTTGTTGGTAATGATTCAGATACTGTTTTTAAATAAGATTCACGCATTTTTGATGCATTCTCAACAGCACGACGAGAACGACGTGCACTTGGTGATGTTTTTTTTGTAAATGTAGAATTCGTACGACTTGTTCGTGATACTGGTGTTGATCTATATAATCGAATTATAATCATAAAAATATGTTTTTTTTGATCTATACTTAATCTGTTTGAGTAATTCGATATGTTGTAATTGTACAGATGAAGAATAGGGTTGAATAAGTAGAATAGGTAGTTTATCTCGTAAATCAGATGTGATATTACCGGATTCCATATAACTCATAATATCATAAAAGATTGTGTATCTTGGAATATCTAATGAAAAGAAATAACGAAATGAATCGATAATAAAACAAAAAACTAACCTTCAAGATTTAGCCGTCGCCAATGATTTGCTCTTCCACCAAGATATGATGGTAATTCATCAAGTAAACTTGAATACTAAGATATAATTAATTAAAAGGAAAAAAATGAATACTTGTTTTTTTTGAATCCTTACTTGCATATAATCTTTTAATGTAACAACATCAATTTCATGTGATGCTCGTCCATCAGAGCCATGCAATGAATCAGAAAGCATTTGTTCATAAAATTTTCGATTTCCCATTTGTTTACATGCAGCTACACGAGCCTATTCTACATAAAACAATAAATATATGTTTAATTTAATGTTGTAGTTAAAACATACGTTCATATCAGCATTAATTATTTTTTTACCATGAACATATTTTGGAAGAGCACCATTAAAATTACGTACATAGATTTTAAAATAAATCACCGGAGGAAATTCCGTGCCACCAAAACTAGAAAAAGATAATGATTCATCTATTTCTTCGATAGTTAATAAATACTTACCGAAATTTCACTTTCACATTCATACTAGGATCACGTAATAGTTCAGCTTCACGTGGTGCTATTCTTCGAAGAATATTATCTGATAGAGCATGTTCAGCTGCACATACAGCATGTTTCAACAATCGAAACATTTGTTTATCACGATGTCGACACCAAGCATTTTCAATAATCTGAGCCGCTTCTTTAACAGTCATTAAATCGTTTGGACGTCTGAATGTAACAAGAAAGTTAATTTAAAATAATATTTTAAATATTACCTTTTTCGATATCTTTCTGACATTTATTTCTACTTAGAAAAAAATAATCTGAAAACAAACAAAAGAAATTCTCTTATTTTTTTATTTGAGATGTATTATCATCTAATGTTCCTGTAGCATATTCTTTATCAATAAATTCTTTTAATTTAGTTTTTAATTCAATTCCAAGTAAATTTTCAAATGATGTAGCATCTAATGTTGCTAAACGACATTTTTCAAGTGCAGTAACTGTTGCATAACGTGGTTTATTTTCAAGTAATGCCAATTCACCAAAACATTTTCCTGTTCCAAGTATTTTCAATTCACGTATTGTTCCATCTTTTTCTTTTCGTGTTACTTTAACTGAACCATTTTCAATAAAAAACATTTCATAGGCATCGATATCACCTTGTTCAATTATAATTTGATTTGTTAAATAATAACGTGGTCGAAGTGCATCAGCTAAATCTTCTAAACGATTTTCATTTAACCAACCACGTGAATAAAATATTTGAATAAAATTAACTGTATGAAGAAATTTTAAATATTTTTCACGTTGTTTTATAGCAAATGATACAGTTAACGTTGAAAATGTATCTCGATCAATTAACCAAAGTTTTCCATCGGTTTTAGCTATTACAGTAGCTGTACGTGGTTGACTAAAAGAATTATATAATACTCAGTACTCTGTCTACGAAATATGAATACCTATAAAGTAATGCAATTTCACCAAAACATCCCTAAATTAATTTTTCTTATAAATTTTGAAATAAACTATTGATGAATTACTTTATTATCAAGTTCGGATACTTTTTTTCCATTAACAAGTACATCATATTTACCAGATTCAATACAATAGAAATAATCTCCTTCATCTCCTTGTCGAATAATTTCTTCGTTTTGAATAACAGTTTTTGGTGTTAAATATTTTACAAATTGTTTAACAAGTGATGGATCGTCACCAACATATATAACCGTATCTTGTACCATTTTACATAATTTTTCAAATACATCAGGACTTTTCATAACAACTTTATTTGTTAAATCACGATCTGGATCCTAAATAAAAATAAAATATATATATATTCAATTATTTGTTTGTTTATTATACCGGTGAACCACCCCAAACAGATTTTCGTCGTTGTTTTTCATTGTTTGTACTATCATCACTTTTTTGAGATATTCCACTTATCTGATTAGTTAAAAATATACCTGTTTGTTCTTCCTGATCATCATTTGTTGGTATATATGATTTAAGATTTTGTCTTTCAGAAAAATATTGAACAGCATATGAAGATAATTGATCTGATGGTATTCGTTCACGTAATACATTAACAACAAAATCGGTTAGTAATGGTTTAAGAGCAACAGGAAATTGAATTGTTTGTTCGTTGTTTGACATAGATATGTGAATATTTAAAGCGAACAAGATAATTCAATTGAATCACTCGATTCAATATGTTTTTATATACATTTTTGTTTAGTAGATTAAAAAAATATTAACAAAACGCGCTCTTTAACTTCAAAAAGGAACCGATTTATGTGAAGAACTACTAGTAGTGGGAAAAAAGAAAAAATTATTTTATAACTGAAAACTCGATGATGAATATTTTTCTTTGTATAAAATAGTCCTGTAAATTTCTTTATCTAACATTTTAAATTATATTAAGTTCTTTTTTTTTCATGTAAAATTATAGATTTTGAACGAACTCTTGTTAATATATTTATCATATAAAGTATATAAAAGAATCAACGACATTTTCCATTTATAATTAGAACAAACCTGAGAAAAGCTAGATCGAATACTATATGGCTTCAACATATATTAAAAAAGAAACTTTAAAGAATAAAAAATTTTTTTCTCGTTCTGTGTTTTAATGCTGCCATTTACTTCTACAGTATGAAATGGTTTCTTGACAGTGATTGATGAATATATGTTACTGTTTCTTTATTCATTTATTTATATTCTTCGAGCGACAACTATAAAAGAAAAAATTACTTGAGCATGCACGCTATACTTTTTTTTATGTTTAAACAATTTATTGCAAGAGGAACAAAAAACTTAATAAATAAAAACGATAAAAATAGTGTTTATCGTGAAGATGATGAACACGATTTTTTTGCTTTCAATGTTGATGATACTGGTTCTTGTTTTTGTGGAAAATAAAGTCTCATTGAATTACTTGCATCATGTGTACGTTGTGTTAACGATTGATATTGACTTCCAAAAGGTATACGATGTTTTTGTAAACATTCTTTTGATATATTTGATAAACATTGTCGAGAAGATATTAATGGTTGTCGATTAAAATACCATCGGCAATAACAACAAGAATTTTTTACTAATGTTGGTGATGGTTCTATGTCTAAAAAGACAGATTCAGAATCTAAATTATCTAAATTAGTATCTGTTGTTATAGAAGCATTATAATATATTTGAGGATTTCGATTATGTCGTCGAAAATGTATTTGAAGATAACAACAGCATATATTTTGAAAGCAAACTTTTAGTATTTGATAAATTGGTTGCAACATATGATATAATTCATTTCGAAAATGTTTACCACATAAGCAATGTACAATAATATTTGATACAGAATTAAACATATCAGACATAATTAATAATGTATAACTTTTTTTTAAAAACTCTGGACAATCATCATCAGCATATAATTTTCTCTTACAATAAATAAGTGAAAGAAATATATCACTAAACCATGAATTTATAATAGCAAATAAACATTCAACGGTAATAACAAGTAAAACCCGACGAGTATCATCTGTTCGACGACGACATGGTAATATAAAACTTGATGCAAGACGATTTGTTTGACGTACTCGATACACAGATATGATATTACTAATTATTGTTATTAATGATGGTAAAACACTTCCAAATACTGAAAGTAAAAAAATAATGCACTTGAAATGTATAATTAAAGAAGTAAATAAGTCCTTATAAATAGAATAGAAGTGTTTTATACTCTATATTATTCTGTCCGATTTGCCTTTTTATTATATACATTGGAAAATAATAAAAAATAAATTCTGTCATTAACAGTAAATTGTACACTCAAACGTTATCATTATGCAGTTTGATTCGAAAAAAATTATTTCTAGTTTGCTATGCTAATTATATTTTGAATAAAAATTGATTA